CTCATTTCCGCTATTTTTACTTCACATCTGAGCAACATCATAATGGACTGAAGAATCACATTCGCAAAGACGGAAAAGCAAAAATGCATACTTTCCATCTTCCCAACAAGACTAAGCACTTCCCAACAAGACTAAGCACTTCCCATACTCCAGTCAAGGGAAAAAAATCACTTTGCACCCTGAAATAAGCCAAAAATAACATAACCATCCTGTCTAAGAGTTGGTCTACAAGATAATAAAACCTTGAACATGTCTCATAAGCCTGGACTCCCTAAGGAAAAACATTTTTTCCCCAATTGCTTGTTATGGGAATGTCTGAAGATAAGTCATGACTTTGGGGAATACGATAATCGTGTGAGAAAGTTGTTTTCAACCATGAACAAACAGATTAATGTCCACTTAAGAACCCTGGTAATTTTATGGGGTATTTTCTCTTAAGTGCTTATTGTGCTTTACCTGATGAACCAGTCTTCTGAAGCCAGACTCCCTTGCACTCCAAATGCTCCTACCACTAAATCTTCCACTGTCTGAGATACACGTAATATCAGCAAACATCCTGCTACTCTATTATTTCAGCTGAAGCATATATACAGCCCATACTCTGAACTGGCACAACTTGGGGGACCTGATCAATAATTTTATTTTTCTCTCCCACTGCCCCTTGAAATGCATTCTTGGATTTGACCCCGATGCCCTCAGATGAATACTTGAGCGGGTCCCATGACTTTTCTGCTCAAGCAACCACTTCAAAGTCCCAAAAGAATTAACATGTGCAGTCTGGAAATTAAAGAAACTCCAACCTCGTTGTAACACTAAATCTCCTGCCCAGTGCCAGCTAGGTCCTGCTGTACACTGGTCTTCTACGGGGGCTAGGGGACAGTCGACTTCTTTTTCTTTTGCTACCTCATGCCCAAGTGCTGAACAGTTTCCCACCCCTCCAGGATCAAAGCAAGAGGACAAGTCTATATTAACTGTCTCCACATTACTTATGGGTGCTTTAGTGATACTCATTTTCTTCCAACTGACCGCTCACTTCTACCTCAGCCTCAGATTTCTCGAACGTCTCACTGCCGGGGTACCCTCACTCTTGGGCTGAATTTAGCGTGGTCCCAGGCCAGTGCTCTCTCTCACACACCCCCACCTGGTCCTCAGCACGTCCCCAGGCATCCTTTGTCCTGACCAACTCTGGGAAAGAAGGTGATCCTGCCGCTCACGCCACCACATGAGCCTGCCATGCAGGAACCACATGTACAGCTCAACTCGTGGTCCCACAATAGCCCCCTACCCTAGGTTTGGTATAAAGGAAGTGACGAAAGATTCCTTTGAAGAAACCTGTTTAATAAAGTCTCCTCTCTCAAACCTCATATTCTTCTAATGAGTTAAAGAAAAGTCCTCAGATATCTACACTGAAAATCTCTACGTCGTGGTCTGGCACTTTCGAATTGTACATAACTTGAATAAGTGTCTCAGTCAAAACTTTGATTTCGTACCTAATTTTTCATACATGCATATACATGTTTCAGATAGCCAGCTAATTTCTAAGTATTTTTGAAGTTTGTTTTTCTCATATATCTAATACAACTGAGGAATCTAAGTATTGAAAGGGACATTCAGAGACATAAAATGCAACATAAAATCCTTACCCAGTTTGGAACCCTCTCCCCAGTCCTGACAGAAGGTCACCCAGCATCAGGCTTGACCTGCTTCTGGGAACAAAGCCCCCTCCTCTTCCTCAGGAGTCTAAGGACCGGTCGTGTAACTGGACGAGGCTCCTTTTTGCCAAGTTAAATGCTCCCTGGTCCTCAGACGGCTGGTATCCAGGCCCGCATCATCTCCTTCCTCTGAATAGCCTGAAGTTGGTCCCTGCCCTCTATAAAGGGGCCACCCAGAGTGGGACACTGAGGAAAGCGGGTCTGGGCCCCTGTGATCCAAAAGCAACAGGCTGGGGCAGAGGATACTGGTTAAAGTCTCAGGTTCAGGTTAAAGGCTAATGTTCTAATGGTAACTCTGCTGCTGACTGGTTATGTAATTTTGTGCCGGCTACTCAATCCCTCTGTGCCTCAGCCTACTCATCTGATAAATGGTGATAATTATATTCCTTACTCATGGGGTTGTTACAGGGATTGAGATAAAAATTGTGAAACACTCATAACTGTGCCTGGCACATAATAAGCTCCATATAAATGTCTATTAAAAGGCCTGTCTTTATCAGCGCATCCCCATAAGCTATGGAGCCGCTACTTCACACTGTGTGTGGTTAGTTCAGAACTTGGTGGGCCACTGAAACCCCCAGAATTTTCCCTCTCACAGGAAGTACTGCTCACCAGGGCCACTCCTTCATGTACTTTTTATTTATTTTTTATTGAATCTTTTGGGGTGACACTGGTCAATAAAACCATATGGGTTTCAAGTGTACAGTTCTAAAACACATCATCTGCAACAGTGCATGATGCACTTACCGCCCCGAGGCAAGTCTCCATCCATCACCATTTATCCCTCCTTTGCCCTCTCCCACATCCCCCCACCTCGCTTGCCCTCTGGCAATCAGCACACTGTTGTCTCTGTCTGCGTGCTTTTTCTCTTCTGAATCCCTTCACCTTTTTCACCCAGCCCCTCCCACCCCTGACTGACTCTTTGACTTTCAACCCTACTGTAAGCTCAACGTTCTAGTATTAGTAAATGCAGTGGGTCTTGTAGAATATCCTCCTAGATTTGTAATTGCTACAACTCTGAGAAATGTCTTTCTCCTGAGGAGTGCTACCTTGGAGGTACAGGGAGAAGCATAGAGCCTTCATGTATGTCCATTCTTCCCCCGCTTTGTCCTTAGGGACAGTATAAGACTTTGTCAAATGCCTCTGTAAAGGCAGTATATATTTTAGACTGTCCGTGATGGGGAGGGTGTCAGTGACTCAATTATTTGCAGGTCCCTTACTTTAGGAACCTCTGTGAAATGTAAATAACAATAGCCACCTAGCTGTGAGGACAAAAGGATGTATTAGAAAGAATTTAACTAAGCTGCTATCACCCTGGCACATTAAAAGGTCAAAAATAAAGGAATCAGGGATGAATTCTGATTGATAAAACACCTCCACATATCTGGGGGCCTAAGAAATGGAGGGGAGGAAGGTTACATTTTCCAGAATGTGCTGATGAGATCGTTTGCAAGGGAAAAGAAGTTAGCCTGGAAAGATGAATGCAGGCAGCCGGGAGAGGGGTACATACCTGCGCAGAGGCAGCAGGATAAACAGTGGAAAACACACCCACCAAGGAGTTCTGGGGCTGGGACCTTACTCCACCCCCACCCTGATCCCCGGTCCCTGGGGCCATTTGTTAACAACAACAACAATAATAATAATAATAAAAGAATTAACGCACATGGTTCACAAAACAGTAGTTAGCTTTGTGCACTCCCATGTTTTCTCTTCCCTTCCAATGATTTCATGTTTCAGAAAACGCTGGTGCGACTCACTACACTGATGCCATTACCCTCATGAATCACAGTCCACACTGGGAGAACAATGGATACGGCAGGCCCCGATCTCCAGATGAAAATAAGTTAGTTGGCAATTAGCTGTCTTCGTAAAATTTTTCTGAGGTGATACTGAGCTATCTTCTTGGAGAATTTATTTTTGGAATGCTGCCAAGATTGAATGGTTCCTTCTTTTGAAAAATCCCTGGACTCTGTTCTCATCTCTCAAGCCTGCTCAAAGCTTCCAGTGAAAGCTTTCACGCTCTAGGATGCCTGTGACTTGGGTCTGGAACAATCCGGCCCACTTCAGGGGTTGCAGGGAGAGGCTTTCCATTTTGAAAAGAAATAGATTGGGAGCTACTCTTTCCCTGTCGCCCAGTAATATCACCTGATTTTCCTTAAACACTGACTAAGCTTGCTGATCAGAACAGAACTCTTCTGCTGAGAACACTCCAGCTCCCGGCTGCCTCTTGCTTTCTGGACCGTATCCTTGCAGGCCAAGCCCCCTTTCTTCCTCAATTCTTGGTGAAGTACCAAAGGGACACTAGCCTCACCGTCCCAGTTTGCAGGTCCCACTAGTAACTGGGGAATTCAGCTGGAAAACTTATTTAATATCTCAGCCTAATTTTCTTCACGTGTAAACTGGAAATACTACCACTTACCTTTGGAGGTTTTGTAAGAATTAATTTAGTTATGGGAGTTCCCTTCTCTTCCCCCGAGTAGCACAGACACTTTCTCCCAAGCTCTCTTTGCTTTCAGAACACTATGCAGTGCTATGTTGCTTTCAGGTTAAATCCAGGGCAATGTCGGAGCCCTCCTGTTATCTTTGCTGCGGAAAGCACCAAGCCTCAAAACAAGTTTCTAATGAGGCGACTCTGTCTTGCATAATTAATCACGCAGAAAGGATGGAAGAGGGAGAAAAACGAACCCGGTATTTCTCTCTAATCAGTAAAATGATCTGCAGGTAGGCTCCCCGGTGCAAACAAAACGACCGTGCTATCAAACACGGTTCATTCTGAGAACCCTGCCCACCACAGCGGCGGGCGCCCCGGCCAGTGGACAGCGCATTCCCCTTGAACCCGCAGGACCCCGAGCCCAGAAGGTCTCTCAGTTGCAGGATACAACGGTAGCAGGCAAGCAAGCAGGGCGTGGAAAGTTTTCCCACCTTTGGGAGAAGGTGAGACCTGGCCCTCCTAGAGAGAGAGGAGGAAACCCACCCAACCCACGAACACCGCTCCGTCCAGCCTTTTCTTTCCAAAGCCCTCCGCTGAGAAACTCACATCACAGTGCTCTGTGAGAAAGGTTTCAAACTTAGGCCCCACTCTTCCCCTGGTCACCCTCAAACCCTAGTTTTCCTCTTCCCACTCCCATTTCCACCCCCTCCCCCCCAAATCCCAAACTAAAAACCCCCTCTAAACCTAACTGAGCTGACTGCCTTCGCCGAAGCCTCAAGCAACCCCGCTCCCCGGCCCCAGGGTGCGCGTCCCAGGACGCCCCCTCCCTCCCGCGGTTACCGTGGGTGTGCCCCGACCTGCGGGCGCCGCTGCTCCGAGGTGTGTGAGCGCCGCTGGCACCGCCGCCTCCTCCGGCTTCCCAGGGCTGGCGAATCGCTCCCGGCGCTGCGGTGCACTGCACGGGGCGGGGACTCGTGTTTCCGACCGGAGGCGGTGCGGCGTGCAGCGGCGGCTACCTCCTGAGCCCGAGGATGCCGGGGCCAAGAAAGGTGAGCTTTGCAGAACCCTCTCCTGCTAAAGCCGCCCTCACTCACAATCAGGGTAAGACCCTGCCGGGAAGAAAGAAAGAGAAATCTGAGAATATTCTTTACCCGCCCCCTATCCCCCACCCTCACCGCCCCACCCCCCATTCCCCCCTCACCACCCCACCCTCCATTCCCGACTCTGCAGTGGGTCCCTCAGGCCAACTTTGAGTAACCAAGCCATGCGAGAGGGAGTGGGGCAGCATGAATGAGATCTATGAAAAATCCTTAACACTGGGGTGAAGTTTAGGAAAGGCAGGGACGTCCATCATGTCGTACTAAACCTACTACTTCAATTTTAGTTCTCCTCCTGCGTCCTGATACACACAGGTGCCAACGACTGTCAAATGTCCCCCAGACCGGATTCCATAAGAATAGCAGTGGGCCAGAAGTAGATTCAAATTAGCAGAAGTGGCTCAATCCTCACTTCCAGTAAATATTTATTGAGTCCATATTCCATGCCAAACATTGATCTGTATGCTAGGGAGACAGCCTCTTGGAGTTTACACATTAGTGAAGACACAGGAAATAAACACAACAAATAAGGAAAATATGGAGTGTGAAACAGCCGTAAGTGCTGTAGAGAAAAATAACTCAGGCAGGGGATAGGTTAGTTGATGGTGTGGGTGCAGCCTTAAGTCAGGTTGCCTGAGTGGCTGAGCAGGTCACACTGATATCTGAGGAGAAAGTATTCTACACCCCGAGTTGTTAATTATTGTTTGGGCCATTTCCTTTACTACTCACAGGCACCGTATCAGGCAGTATTATTACCATTTCCATGTCACAAATGAGGAAACTAGTTTAGAGAGGTTAAATGAATTGCCCAAGGTCACGTATTAGTAAGTGGAGGCGCTTACCTTCAAACTCAGGAAGCCTAGCGCCCCAGGACCTTAGCTTCATCAGACCATAATTGCACGGGAGAAACTCAGCATAAGCAGTACCCACGCTGGCTTCCAATGGTGTGATTAATTCAATCTCCTGGGCCAGAAAAAGATTCCTGGAAATGATGTCGGATGCACTGATTTTCTTTAAAAATCTTGTGTCATTATAACATGTAAAATGAAATATTTTGCAAACCATCTGTACAGTTGTGTGCCTATGCCTCAGCCTCATTCACAGGCAGTTTAATTCTAGATGACATAATTTAACCATCTGTGATGAGACTTATTAGTCCCTTTCCTACTTCCCCACGTTGATTCCAGTTGCACATTCCTGTCCAGCTCAATGTGATCCATCACCCACAGAGCAGAGCCTGTACTGAACGTCAGCAGGGCGTGGTGGAGCCGGTCAGAGAGCAGAGCGACAGAATGAAGGAATAATAAGAATGAAATCTTGCCATTTGTGACAACATGGACGGACCTAGAGGGTATTACACTAAGTGAAATAAATCAGAGAAAAACAAATAGAGAATGATTTCACATATATGTGGAATCTAAAAATAAAAGGAAAAAAATAAATGAATAAACAAAACAGAAGTAGACTCATAGATGTAGAGAAAAGTTGATGGTTGCCAAAGGGGAGGGGGAGGGGAAGGGGAAATTTATTTAAAAAAGAGAGAGAGCAGAGCTACAGAACTGCTGCTGCTAAAAGGCCAGTCTCTGCCTTAGCTGTCAGAATCAGATGGCCTCTTTTGGGCAGAGTACCTATGGCTCTTGAGGCAGAGAACAGGGCACCTTGTACTGTGTGGAAAAGGCCACTAACCGTCAGCTTCAGAGGCTGAAGCTGCAGCACCCAGTGGGACCAATCTCATCAAGAGGATGGCAGAGCTCCCCTTCTCCCCTAGGCATCTCTGCCTTGCCACGGCTGTACCCATTTCCTTCTTCCCTCCCCTGGGCCAGCAACATCTCCTGCCTTCCCCTCAAGGGCCACGCCAAAGGGCTTGTTCTTCCAGGAAGCCCACCTTCACTGCCCTAGTGACAAATGAACTCTTCCTCTAAAATCTGGTACCTTTCATTGGCACCTGTCATTTCAGAGTTTAAAATAGGCTCCTCCTATTCCTCCAGGGTCCAGCTTTATATTCAATTTCTCTACCTACAGGTCTTAGCGTAGTGCCTTGCACCCAGTGGATGTTTAGTAAGTATTTCTTGTTAATAAAGTAATCTATAAGAGTGTGGCTTCATTGTCCCTTAATTTTGTCTTTTCACTTCAAAATTCCATTCAGGCTCACAGATATTTAGTGATAGTACTGATTCATATGTAGTTATAAATGTTGTTTGTCAATACAAATTGACAACAGTTTATTTTGAGATAAATTCTATTTGCCCCATTCTGAAATTGGAAAACTGAGGTTTAAGAGTCATTTCCCCAAGGTCACCATGCTAGTCAGTGATAGAGGCAAGATTTAAACCCAGGACTACTTGACTCCAAACTGCGTGCTCTTCCCCACAGCCTCCTGCTGCTCTTCACTCAGTCGTTCACTCATGCGTACATTCCTGTGAGCTTTGAACCAATATTTATATTTACCTAATTCAGCTCTGCACCAGCCATTATGAAAATAACCATGATAGAAACGCAGTTCTTCAGGAATGAGAGGAATATGGTCAAAAGGTACAAACTTCCAGTTATGAGAAATAAGTTCTCGGGATATAAAGTGTGATGACTATAGCTCACACTGCTATATGATATATAGGAAAATTGTAAAGAGTAAATCCTGAGTTTTCTTCACAAGAAAAGACTTTTTTCCCCTTGTTTTCCTTTTTCTTTTTATTGTATCTATGGGAGATGATGGATACTAACTAAATGTACTGTTATTCAAGGCTAGGACATTTGCTGCCTTTGTTAGAAGACCTTCCATCAGCCTTCCCATGCGCTGATATGGCCTTGGTGATAGAGTGTGGCTGGATTTCATTTTATAATATATGTAAGTGAAACCATTATGTTGTATACTTTTAAACTTTTACAGTGATACATGTCAATTATATCTCAATAAGACTTGGAAAAACCCATAGTTCTTGTGTTCAAAGTTGCTTGCAATCTACGAGAGAGATGCATAGAGGCCTGAAGGAACACTTTGTTTTCACTTTGGTGATGGGGAAGTAGGAAGTAACACTAAGGATTCATTGAGAAGATGGAATGTAGTTTTAATCTTGAAGGTGATCCAGTAATTTGTTATAATGATAATGAAGAAGAGCAAAAGGTAGGCAGAGTTAAGATCATCTGCAAAGACATGGAAGCATGAAAGACCAGCACTGAGAGACGACTATGGTCACTCGGGGCTGAAGCCTGGTGAAGGCGGTACTGAGACAGGCCGGAAAGGCAAGGGGAGCCAAATCACACGGGTCCAGAAATGACCTTCGTGGAGTCCATTACCCCCTGAAAAAGTATACAATCATGGATGTAATGAATGGGAACTTTTCACAGGAGAGGTCTGATAATTTTAGTCAAATTCTCAAAGGTTGGACCCAGCGCCAGGAGGTGGGGAAGTGATTTTTCCCTTGTCACCACCACTGCCCGACCCATGGAGCACAGGTAAACCCCAATGAATTGCAACATCAGCCAGGATACCTGTGAGTGGGTGCAGGCATGGCTCTGACAAATCACCTCCAAATGCACAGTGGTGCTGCCAGCCCCGGGCAAGGATGGCTGGACCCTAACCTTCACAGCATCTGCACCAGGATTCCTCCTAAAGGCAGAACAAGAGGACAGCTGGGCAGCCAATAGGCAGGGTGCTGGCAAATAAGATCCTGTTCCAGGGAAAGAAGAGAGATGGGACCACAGGGAGCCATGACTGTAAGCCCTCAGTGCATGACCCATTGCTCACCTGACTTCACTTACTTTTATGGGCTGACTTGTGAATTCCTGCATTGAACTCCTAATATTTAGTACCTTGCAATGTGACTGTATTTGGAGATAGGGCCTTTAAAGAGGTAATTAAGATTGGATGAGGTCATATGGGCCTCATCCAATCTGATTGATGTCCTTAGAAGAGGAGGTTAGGACACAGACACCAGGAGCACTCATGGACAGAGGGACAACCATGAGAAGAGGCAGCAAGAGGACAGCCATCTGCAAGCCAAGGGGAGAGACCTAGAACCGATCCTTCCCTTGTGGCCCTCAGAGGAAACCAACTCTGCTGGGACCTTAATCTTGGACTTCCAGTCCCCAGAACTATGAGAAAATAAATTTCTGTTGTTTAAGACACCCAGTCTGCAGTATTTTGTTAGGGAGACATTAGCAAGCTAATAGATTTACAAAATACAAATTCAGAATTCCAAAATAACTTTCTGAATTTCAATATGGTGACCACAGAGCATTCAGTCTCCAGGAGCACCCTCCTAAGCAAGGATTCCTGTGCTACTGCACTGGTCACAGGCTCTGAAGCCAGGTCTTGGGAATATGGGCATGGCAACCTGAAAACAACACGGGGTTCATTAGTGGAGACATGTGACAGAAGTGGGGGGAGTGGGTAAGATTGCTCCATGGGAACACAAAGTGAAAAGACAAGAGAAGAGGGCTGATATCAGAAGCTTGGAACATGAACCTAAAAGGAAGATAACTAGAGAAATAGAAGGGGAGCAAGAGAAAGTGGAACCCAATGCGAAATGGGCAATAGTGTCTAAGGGCCAAGGTCATGATTAAGGACTGAAGCCCACTAGCTCTTGCATGGAGGTGATGTGGTAGGAACTGAGGCCAGAATGCTGCTGGTTAAGGATTAAGGCTGTCATTACAGGTCACTCTTCTAAGGAGGCTGCGGAGGGGAGTGTGGTCGGACTGCTGAGGACTTCGGTGCAAGCCTATAAAAGCCCAGGGGACTGAAACCCAGCCCATACTCTGTTAATGAGGCCACATCAGCTCACAGGAAGGCTGATGGAAGGTCTTCTAACAAAGGCACCAAATGCCCTAGCCTTGAATAATAGAGCTACAACAGAG